GCCCCCTCCCGAATTTGGTGTTTTTTACAATTACCCTTCATGTCTTTATATCCCACTACAGCGGTATGTATATAACGTTTTTAACGTTTTATTTTGCTGTAACTCCAAGCTAACAGAAAAGTTCTAAGAATGGAAAAAAGCCTCCCATATACCCTTTCCCAGATTTACCAATTGTTTATATTTCTCTTGCAGACTATATCGTCTGTATTTACTCTTTTAAACATGATTTCAGTGGGATGTATTCTATTCTTCTGCAGTCTTTTGTATACACTACAATATTTGGGAGAGTCACTCGTGTTGAAACATGTAGCTCTAATTCATTCTCTGTTTATACGGTGCAGTATTCTGTTGAGTGAATATGCTGCCGTTCTCATATTCCGGTTATTTCCAAATGTTTGCCATTTCAAGCAGTGCTGCTATGAAATTTAAACTAGTGTAGACTTCAGCACATGGAAGCAAGGTCATGTATCACTTGTGATTTAGGAACAGAAAATGTAAAGAGTATAAAATTAAACATTATAAAAGCAAAGCATTGGCAGCTTAAATTAACATTTTTATTTCGCGTTAAAATTTGTAGCAGTCTGTCTCTCAAAACTCAAATATACTGGACATGGGTGTAACTGCATTTTGGATTTGCAGAGTAATTAGGCTTTATTCTTGTGATTTGTATTTATCTTTGCTACTCATTTTTTCTCTATTATTATGGGTACTATTAATATAAATGTACCAGTTCTGTCTTCTATAAATTGGAGCAGAGAATAACTTCCCATTGATATCATTGAGAACATTTATACAGTTTTATTTTGCTGATGAAAGGAGAATGCCCTCTCTCCTCATTAAAAGAAAAAGTTGCTGTCAGCTCCCTTTTATTTATGAGCTGTGTCTGTGCCCGCAAGCAGTTTGCGTATGGACCCAAACGTCGTTATTATTAGCAAATTATTTCTACAGGTGTATCCTGCTTCAGCTTTATCGTACAGATTTTACCAAGCGAATTACGTGTTATGCATGCATGACCTTATTTAATTCTCCCAACCATTGTATAATTCTCAACACTAATCTCCAGTTAGAAGACTGAGCGAGGCTCAGAAACTTGCTCATGTTGCTAGACGGTAGAGCAGGCATTCAGACCCAGGCCTCAGTAACCCAGCCACAGCCCACGTTTCCAGCCACACTTGGCTACACTACCGTAAAATAACGGTGATTTCCATTTCTTGAGCCCTTGGATGCCAAGAACTAACCTAACTACCTTATTTGTAGACCTTATACCCATTATACAGATGAACAAACCAAGGTTTTCAAAGGTGAAATAATTTTAGGATTATAGCAAGGAAGTAACTAAACAGATGCAAAGCCAGGACTGGTCTCACTTCAAAGCCATCTCAGTGCAATGCCAGTATCTTCTCTGCACCATGTACGTGCAGGAAACAACACTGAGAACGTCTTTGAAGGCCGGTGGTGAGCTTAACTGCTTGGGTGTTTTTCAGGATTTCCATTAGCAAGTTCATTTGGTCTACAAATCCATAGAAATTTAGAGTATATTTCAGGAGGTGTATAAAAGGCAAGTGGAAGGAGGGGATACTGAAATATTTACATGCATCTAAAAAATCCATAAATGTTTCTTCGTAATGTTTGTAAGAGTTACTTTTGTTTTAAAAGTGTTTGTTGTTGTTGTTGTTGTTGTTGAAGCCAGTGTTTGGGGAAGACAGGCCACATCCAAATAAAGTATTTATACAAGAAATTGATTTCTATCTGGGAACCTTAGGGGACAAGCAGATGATCATTTTGAAATAGGGATCTGACCATTACGCTTCTTAGAACTGCTCAGCTGGGTTTAAGCAGAGAAGTGGAGATCAGCACCCAGATGGGGCACTGTCCTACTCATGATCTAGAAAATAAACGGATTTATTTATAACGGTAGAATGGGGGCCGTTGACCTGTGGCCTGTTTTCGTATAGCCCATAAGCTAAGAATGGATTTTATAATTTTAAGTCGCTTTTAATTATCAGAAGAACGTTGGGGCGCCTGGGTGGTTCAGTCGGTTGAGCGTATGACTTCAGCCTAGGTCATGATCTCGTCATTCCCGAGTTGGAGCCCCGCGTCGGGCTCTGTGCTGACAGCTCAGAGCCTGGAGCCTGTTTCGGATTCTGTGTCTCCCTCTCTCTCTCTGTCCCTTCCCCACCCGTGCTCTGTCTCTATCTCTCAAAAATAAATAAGCATTAAAATTTTTTTTTTAAATCAGAAGAATGTTTCATGACACATGAAAATATATGAAATTCAAGTTTCAGTAGCCCTGAAACATTTCACTGGCACACAGCCACGCTCATTTGTTTCTGTATTGTTTGTGGCTGCTTTTGCATTACAATGGCAGAGTTGAGTTGTTAGGCCGGAAGCCCTAGAGCCTATGGGAGCCTGAAATACTTACTTTGCCTGCACTTGCACTTGCACGAGAGGGAAGGGGTAAGAGTGCAGACTCTGGAGTTAGATGGAACTGGGTTCAGGCTTCCATTCCTGCACCCGTAACATGTTGTGGCCATTAATGAGAAGAGGTAAACTCAGAAGAGTGACGTAGTGATAGTTGCCTTCTATCAAGAAGAAATCAAGACAGCTAGAAGTTTCCATGTTTCTTTTACTTGACAGTGTAATCGTAGAACACACTAAGAATCCAACAAAAGTGAAATTTTACAAAATACACAATTGCAAGTACCTTAGGCAACCTTTTCTCGATATTTCTGCACCTGCCACTTACACCGTAAGGACCCCTGAGCGTCCGTTCCAGCAATCCCGATTCCCACTGGCTTCAACGGTAGAGGAAATTGTCAGTGAAACCTGAAAAGCGCAGAAGTAAAGCCTGTCGCCAGCCCGTCGCTCTGTATTCTGGGCCCTCTTCCCTGCACCAGTCACAGCGGCCCGGGCCCTTCGGCTCCAGGAGGAGGCGGGCTGGATGCTGCGCGGAGCCCAGCACCGTCTGCTGTAAACTCGTTTATAAGCTACTACTATGTTTATAAAGAAAACAAACGTACTGTACTAGTTAGTCCGTTTTGTAACCCTCTCTGAAACTAAGGCTGCCTGTGTGTTTATTAAGGTAGCCGCACGCCACCAAGCTCTACAGGGTGGTTTGGGATACACAACCCTAGGGTTGTCCTCCTAATGTTTGGGTTCCCAGCAGCATCAGGGTCAACACTTTAGGAACTCGCGTCTGAACCGCCCGCATTATACTGGATCTAGCGACCCTATCAGGAAACTGCTCTTGGCTTTGCAGCCCTGGTATCGATTATCCTGTGAGCGATTCTTATGTATCAGTACAAACGGAATAGGAGAAATTTTCTGATACTTATCTCCTCATGAGGAAACTTTTCTGGGTTTCAGCTCAAAGTAACAGCTGTCATCTATAAAGCTGACTGATATGTTTATGTACAAGGAAGCCCACGTAATATGATTTGGGCTCCGCATAACGTGTTGTAGGAGAGCTCAGAAATGGGAGGGCCTCTCGATTACCGAGAATTGGATTCTCTTTGTAAAATGGAAAACAAGTGAAGGTAAAAAGCAAAAGTTCACTTTTAACCTGCAAGGCCTCACAAAGAAAGTCTTAAGCTTTCATGGAAATAAAGCTGAACCATTAATGCTGGGAAATCTGGCAAAGAGGGTTTTATTCCTATTTCAGGTCTGTAAGTCTCTTAGATTGGCTGGTGGTTATAATTCCACACACCCCAGCACGGTGACTTTTCGGTCTTGGAGTTGCGATTATATACTTAAACATTCCTGTCATGCCTAACACTTGTTTCCTGAAATGAACTTTCATTCAACACTGGAAAAAAAGTGCCATTTCTCCTCGAGACACAGCGAGAATGGGGGTGGAGAAATCTCATCGAGATTGGATAGAATTACAGAAATGTAGAAAATTTACAGCCTTTGCAGCTGACAAATTATGCTTTCCCATGATTGAAATAATCACCTCCCTTCCTCTCTCCACTCCTAGCACTGACGTTTCTGCCTCTGTTCGTTCGTATTGCTTACAACGTATATAGAGCCAAGTAAGAGCTCCAGAGGGTGACGGGCCCAGGAGGTCTGCTCTTCACATGAGGGATGCTGACTCTAGGATGCCCTTCCTTAAAACCAAACAGCCAGTTAACTCCCTCGAAATACCCTGTTCCCATTCCTCTGGGCAAGAAGACAGACGACCAGCTTAAAGACACTTCTAATTAGGCCAGTGCTTTTTAAGGGCGGAGGGGAGCCCATCTATGCCATGATGAAGTAGGTGAGCATGGAGTGGGAACAGAGAAGCAGGCTGGCTTTGGGGTCCTTTCTAAGTTTAGGATGAGTCCGTTGTCCATTTCAAGTGTTGTAAATTCTCAGGTCAGCAGACATTGGGTTGCGCTTTGCAAAGCACTGTTTTGAGCGATCTGCCCCATCGCCAAAGTTTGCACAGAATTTTAATGGGTTTTTTTTTTCTCGGCCATCCTGTATGGCTTTATGGCCATTAAATGTTGGGGTGCATTTCTTTGGGAGGGTGCACGTAACATTTTCGTGACACATCTCCTTGGAGAGAAGATTACCTCAGGCCCCTGCCTCCTTTGTTGGCCGGCCAACTGTATTTGGTAACTGGAAATGTATTCGAAAACATGCGTCTTATCAGCTCTCTCCATTCACCTTGGAACGCAGGACTTTCCAGCCCTCCTAGAAAAATCTCTGCTGCTGATTACGTTAATGTTGTTAGTAGTTAATAATTCACTGTTTATACAATCCATGGCTTTATTTTTAGATACAAAGGTGGTTGTCTTAAACTACCCCATTTGGAATGGATAATACTGATTTATAAATAATTCTTAGTCCTCATTCTCCATATTTAAATTACAGAGAATTTTTTTCTTACCAGAAAACGGATTCTTCCCTCTCCCTCAGGACATCCCTGTTGCTTTTTGACTCATCAGACACGCAAATAGCCCCCCAAGAATCAAGCTACGTTTAAAGAAGACTTACCTAGAAACATTGAAAAGTGCATCATGGAGTGCAAGGCTGAGGGAAGAGAAAAATACCAACATAGCTTGAATTTACTGAATAAAGTTAAGAACATGAAAGAATTAGCGGAAATGATTGACGTAGTACTCATAGCAGAAGGGGAGAAATTTCCTTGCCACAGGCTGGTCCTGGCTGCCTTCAGTCCGTATTTCAAAGCCATGTTCACCTGTGGACTACTCGAATGTTCTCAAAGGGAAGTCATACTTTATGACACCACAGCGGAAAGCGTGTCGGTGATCTTGAACTACATGTACAATGCGGCTTTGGAGATCAGTAATGCCAATGTTCAGACGGTAGCGATGGCTGCCTATTTTATGCAGATGGAAGACATCTTTAGTGTGTGTCAGAAATACATGATGGACCACATGGATGCCTCGAACTGTGTAGGCATCTATTATTTCGCAAAGCAGATTGGAGCTGAAGATTTATCTGATCAATCGAAGAAATATTTATATCAGCACTTTGCCGAGGTGAGCTTACACGAAGAAATATTAGAAGTTGAAGCACACCAATTTCTGACGCTCATTAAGTCAGATGACCTAAACATATCCAGGGAGGAGAGCATTCTGGACTTGGTCCTCAGATGGGTGAACCACGACCAAGAGTCACGCACAGAGCACCTTGTCGAGCTTCTGAAGCAAGTCAGGCTGGAGCTTATAAATCCTGCTTTCCTAAGACAAGCCCTGAAAAGGAACACGATGCTTCTGTGCGACGCAGCTTGCATTGACATTATTCAGAACGCGTTCAAAGCCATCAAGACCCCCCGGCAGCAGTCCCTAAATCTCCGCTACGGCATGGAGACCACCAGTCTCTTGCTCTGCATCGGCAACAATTCTTCAGGAATCAGGTCAAGACACAGGAACTACGGGGATGCCAGTTTTTGTTATGACCCCGCTTCACGGAAGACCTACTTCATCTCGTCTCCCAAGTACGGAGAGGGCTTGGGGACCGTGTGTGCTGGCGTCGTCACAGAGAACAACACTATAATCGTGGCCGGAGAGGCAAGCGCCTCCAAGCTTTCTAGACAAAAGAGCAAGAATGTGGAAATCTACAGGTTTGTGTCTAGCAAACAGTTGTGAATTGGTTTTAATTATCGTGCTTTAATTATCTCGGCTCTAGCAACAGTAGAAGGAAATACTCCCCAAAGAGGGATCCTGTCTTAAATTACGTGTTGTCAAAATTACCCCATAATTACATATTTTACATACATGTATATAAAATTCATAACAAAGTCACCCAGTATAAAATTATTTTTCTCCTTTTATTTGTTAAGAGCATGTAGTTGGATTCCCGTAAGGTGAACATGTATATATTATGATTCCACTGTCTATTTTCATGCTTTGCTTTCATTACTGACCCATAAGAAAGGGTGCAATTGAAGGGCTCCTGGGTGGCTCAGTTGGCTAAGTGTCTGACTTCAGCTCAGTAATGATCTCGTGGTTTGTGGGTTCTAGCCCCACATCAGGCTCTGTGCTGACAGTTTGGAGTCTGCTTTGGATTCTTTCTTCCTCCCCCTCTGTCTCTCTCTCTCTCTCTCTCTCTCTCTCCCTCTCTCAAAAATAAATAACAAACCTAAAAAGAAGAAAGTGTGTGATTGATTAGGTTTTGAAGAGTTTGTTGATATAACTTAACAAGAAGAAAAGTTTATTAATACTGATTCCTTTCAGCTGATCTTTTAGTTCATAATTCAGAGTAATAAGTAATTTTTTTCTGAACCCAAAATTACTAATTCTCTGTCAGTTTTCATTCTGTATCCCTAATTTGTAGATCTTTCCTGTGTCTCCAGTAGTGCAAAATGTTTGTGGCCTAAGAATGCTTCAAATCCTAGAATCATAAGCGGAATGAGTCTCTGTAAGCAGTAGCATATTATCCAGGTCTTGTATGTGAGGAGGATACATCTGTTTACTATTTATTTAGCAAGTATTCAGTGAGCATTGAGGCCTTCAGTTAACTGGGTAAGTGAGAAATGTGCACCTAGAATAAATACTGGGTAGTAAAGCTCTCCTTCGGCGCCCTCCCCTCTCACCTCCCTCTTGCGAGGGTTTGTTCAGACTTTTCCATGAGAAAAGTTCCTCTTGATGGTGAGGTTGGGAGAAAGAATTAAGAGGCCTGTTATTTTTCTGTGATCTGTTAACACTCCACTGTCGCTTTTAAACTGTAGGTCTGTCCCTTTTTCACCATCATCTCCCCTAGCAGTGATAGGGAAGGGAGTGCAGAGCCCTGGGTGAGAGACCTGGCCCTATGCCCGTGGGGGCCACACACGTCCCTGGGCAGCAAGAACAGTCTTCCTCAAAATCATCAGGTAGAGACTCCCAATCCGGGATGTCCGACCCCTCCGTGCCCCGCGTTTGATCGGACAGCCGCTGGTACAGGGAGCTCGGGTTCTTCAGACTGCTGCTTTTCTTCCTCATCAGGACAGTCCGTAGTCCCGTTGTCTTTTTTTTTTTTTAAGTATATTTACTTATTTTGAGAGAGACAGAGAACGAGCGGGGAAGGGCAGAGACAGAGAGGGAGAGAGAGAACCCCAAGCAGGCTCTGCACTGTCAGCACAGAGCCCGATTCAGGGCTTGCTCTCATGAACCATGAGATCATGAGCTGAGCCAAAATTAAGCATCGGACGTTTAACCGACTGAACTGCCAAGACGCCTCTAGTGGGTCATTTCTTTAAAAAGAAAAGAAAAAGGTCTACCTTTCCATCTCCTTTAACTCTCCCTCATACTTCAGTATATTAGAGCTGAGGATCTAAGTGCCGTGTTCACACTGTCAGCCTCTGAGAATGCTGAACCTCTTCCATCACTATTTTCTTTTTATGTCCTATCCGTTTCTCCAAAGCGTATGTTTTATAGTTTTATCTGGTCCTTTTCTCCTCCCCATTTTCACTTTAAAGTGTTAAAACAAAAAATCAGATTAGCAGGCTTGCCCGGCAAATGTGTACTTCCCTACCCACATGGGACGTATTTCATTCTTGGCCTATTTTCTTTCTTTTTTTTTTTTTTTAAAGTTTTATTTATTTCTGAGAGAGAGAGAGAGAGACAGCGTAAGCCGGAGAGGGTCAGAGAGAGAGGGAGACACAGAATCTGAAGCAGCTCCAGGCTCTGAACTGTCAGCACAGAGCCCGACATGGGGCTCAAACCCACGAACCGTGAGATCATGACCTGAGCCAAAGTCGGACGCTTAACCGACTGAGCCCCCCAGGCGCCCCTTGGCCTATTTTCTTAAACCATGTCTCAGTACACCCAAACTCCATTTTTTAGTTCTGATATACTCGTAAAGAGGCAAGACAAAGGACACCCATGAGATCGTATATTTAGAGACTGCATAATGTGTGTGTGCGTGTGCGCGCGCGCACACACACACAATCAAAGTGTTGGACTCTGGGAGGTATTGAGAAACCAATATCCCAGTGTCCCTACCTCCCCAAACCCTTTTCAGACTGATACGCTTACTCGTGGAAGAAAAGATGGAAATTACCATACCCAGAGCATTAAAGTAGATGCTAAATGTTATTGGGCACCTGCTCTTGACTCTGTTCTCGGCCAGTCGGAACTAGAAGAAGAACCCTTAAAACTCTCCACTGCACACGTTGTCCCGTTAAAAATCTCTGAATCGAGATATTTCGAGTTTGCCAGAAAGCTGCCTCCTTTGATGTGGAATTAAAGTTGAGACTTCTACTCCACAGACCTTAGCCTTAATGTTTGGGCATCTTTCATTTTTACTTACCCCTCCTTGATAGTAAAATTACAAAGGATTTGCTGCAAGATTTCCTATTCTTGATTTGCTTTCCCAGAACGAGGAAATGAAAGTGAGTCCTGGAGAGCCTATACTTTGTCAGTATATTTTCTAAAATTCTACTCCTGGAGCCAAGACTACACTGTCAACCAACTTGAATTTAAATTAAATTAATAACTAATAATAGCAACTACAAAAATAATCTGCAGCAGAGAGATATGGTTAATTATTTCTATGCACATTATAGTCAACCTTTGCCAGAAAAAGAAGCCCAAACCGGTGTTACTATCTTAGATGAATGTGATTTCCTCACACCAACCGGAGGGCCCACATCATGTTGTTTGTAGCTGGAAAAGAAGCTCAGGTATGTTTCTGGGATAAACTGGGTCCCAGCGAGCACTAATCGCGGGTTCTCTCTCCTAATTGGCAGGTATCACAACAGAGGAAACCAGTTTTGGGAGAAGCTGTGCACAGCTGAATATCGAGAGCTGTACGCTCTGGGCTGTGTTGGCAATGATCTCTATGTCCTGGGGGGACAGATGAAGGTTAAAAACCAGTATCTCATCACAAACTGTGTTGACAAGTACTGCGCAGAGCGGGACAGTTGGAGAAGAGTGTCTCCCCTCCCGCTGCAGCTGGCATGCCACGCCGTAGTCACCGTGAATAATAGCCTTTACGCGATCGGAGGCTGGACCCCTCAGGTTAAGAACTCTCCCACACCCCTAACTGGCATGGCCACGTTGCCTCTGGCTGCTGTGCTGACTAAGCGAGCTTGACTTACGTTTGGGTAAAAGGCCTTTGATCTTGTAGAATATTAAACTTAAGAGGGTAACGTGTTGAAGCAGTTTGGGAAAATGAATTTGAAAGGGTGTTATTCATAGATATGACTTCATTTCATATTCATGCTCCGCTCTTTATAATCCTGCCCATTCTTGCTAATTATGAAAGATGCTTATGCTGCGGAATTATCTATAGGGAGCATCTAAGCAAGAGGCAGGGAGACCAGAACCTCATGGTGCCTCTGCCTGCTTAGCCATTGTGGGAGCGGAGGCCAGTCACTCTTAGGACTTTTGTGCATTTAAAGTTCTTACTCCGACGGGAAACCAGAATACCTGACCTGTGATGGTACGCCCACTGCCACTGGAGTGTGCTGTAACTGCAGACACTTCCTGCCTTAGCCGGGCACCAGCTGGTAGAGGAACCAGATAACCACCGTTCGCACCAAAGCCCTGCCCGGGGATGGCAAAGCCGAGACCGCAAAGTCAGTAGAGTGTGACCACAGCGGCCCTTCCTTCTGTCCCTGGCTGGGCCTCCCGGTGCCTCGAGCTCGCACAGCAGTAGCTGCCTTCTGCCCCCGCTTGCCAGTCCTCCTTGTAAAAACCCCTCTCCGCAGCCCGCTGTCCATCCTCAGGACAAAATGTCAACTTCTTTTGGCCTCTCTGATTTCTGGGTTTGGAAATGCGTTTTGTGATCACACTGACGCTTTCTGCATTCATTTCCCGAGCTTGAGTTTTGCCATGTATCATACCTGTGTTTTTAAAACCCATTTAATGCCTTGTGAGCTGTGTCCTGTGCATCAAGAAGCAGTACAGACTTAATCACAGCTCATAGCTGAGACCTGACTGATTAAGTGTAGTTCAGAGAGATCCTTTTGATAGTTCATGGCATAGAAGCTTTCCTTTGGTTTTCTTTCCACTAAAATAAAGATCACATACTTAACCATGAGAAGGAAAATTAACACAGTAAAGTCAGTATGGCTTGCTGTGTAATGTCTTTACAGAAGGCACGTGAACATTTACTGTATAACAAAAGCACTTGCTGGCCCATACCTAATACAGTGCATTAAATTGCAAGCTAACATGCGTTTGTGATTGCATTGCAGTGATCGTAACCCCTGGTGGATTTAAAGTAATAAAATTAATTACAACTTTCATAGGTATGGCAATTATTTCTGTGTCAAACACCTGCATCCAAAACAAAAGCCAGGCCATAAAAGTTCTTGACACATTGAAGACAAAACCCATCACTTCACCTGAAGTTTATGATTAGGGAAAGCCACATTCTTGTGTCTAAGAATAAACAATTCAATTCTTACTGTTTCTAGTCATTAAAAATGTATGTAAATAAATACATTAAGATAATTGCAAATAACTTCTATGAACCCATAAATCTTAAAAATTGAGTTTAGACCATTCCTATATAGGTCATACTTATAGTGTAAAAATAATTACTAAAACACTAAAACGTTTTCATATTTTGTTCCATTTGGATTAGACAAATGAAGAAGAATGCCTTATGAATTATTAAAGATCGTCTCTTGCAAATATTATTAAACCCTAGCACAATAAAGTTTGCTGAAGTAAAATTGCACTTTAAATACTGTTCAAGAATATTTGGTTTCAATTTTAAGGCTCTGCAGTCCATTTCTAAAAAGTGCTGTCCTGTCTCATTGCTGAGATCACAGACCGTTTGCTGTAACCCGATGCCCTAGCTCCACTCCTACAGAATAGAAGTTCCTCTGACATTGACGGAGCCCTCTTCACCCCAAGTCACAGGATCCGGTGTGTGTGTGAGTGTGAGTCACAGCTAACTTCTATTCATCTCCTTGGCTGTCTGCTTCGATTAATTGCACTCGTGTGCTCACACAGGTTTCTAAATGGTGTGTTATCTCATTGGCTGGCCTGTTTCACACAGGTGGATCTTCCTGATGAAGAACCGGACCGACTAAGCAACCGACTCCTGCGGTATGACCCCAGCCAAGACCAGTGGACAGAGCGGGCGCCCATGAAGTTCTCGAAGTACCGATTCAGCACGGCCGTCGTCAACAGTGAGATTTATGTTTTGGGTAAGAAGAAGCAGATTGCTGAAAGGGTGTAACTACTTTTATTTCCCTGGGCAGTTCGCCTCTGTAGAAACGACATGGTCTTCCTTCCTCTTGTATCCCAGTTCAGACGTCTCTATAACCAGCCAAAAATGTTGTTTGGTTTCTTGTTTCTCTAGGGCACAGTCAGATAAGACTAACTGAAAGTCCACTGACTTATCGAAAGCAAAGTTGTTTGTACGGAATTTTCCAGTCCCTAGGGATGCAAGAACAATAGTGTACATCTTTATATATGCCATCGACTAAGATATTTTGAAAGGGGAATAAGCCTTTGCCCACCTGTAGTTGGTGAAATGTGGGTTTTTGCAACCAACTGTGGTTATCTGTGCAAATAGAAGATTCGGCCACTGTGGGTAAGACACCAGTTTTGCCAGGCCCTTCGCTTTGGTTCACCCATCGAACTCCTGGAGAGGTGTTCTCAAATAATCCTCATCTGAATGCATTCATTTCTTATTTCCTATGTATGCGTGGCCTTGTCCTGACCAGTACGGATTGGTGACAGACTGGTTCGTAGCCAGTAAAGCAGGTAGACACTCTGGCATGGCTCCCGTGTTTCCCCTGTCCCTCTTCACCGCTCGTTCCTCCCTCTCTTATTATGTCCTTGGCTCCTCTAAGCACATTCCCTCCCTCCCCTCCCCTCCCTCTCCCGCTGCCCTGCTCCTGTGTGGGAAAGGGTGAGACAGGGACACGGCAGCCGACTGGGCGGGTAAACCGATAGGTGTGCCGAGATCCTTCACTTCACCCCGTCCACACTGAAGACTGACTGGCAGAAACACAGGGAAGGTGACGAGCACCAAAAAGATGGCAAAGAAAAAACATGAGATATGAGCTCAGAGCAGACCATGCATTTGAATAGCTTTTTTTTTTCTTTGCTAAAAGGAAGCCATTATCTCTTGGCTGCCTGCACAGCATGAAGCAAAATAATTAATGCACTCAAATATTAATAGTTTTATAATTTTAAAAACATTATGCAACATAATTTACGACTACCTCAGTTATGAGACTCATAATGATCAAGTTTTTCCTTTGGAAATGTATTTGTTCCTTGGTTATAACCATATGCTGTGTCATTGGCCCAGAAGAGACCATCTCTAAACTAGAATAGATTGCCTAGGATAGATATATAACTCCAGGGAGGGAAGGGCTAATTATGTTAAATTGGGAGGTAGTCAAAAGAGGGATAAAAGTGATGTATTAATGGAACAAAAATGAGATTTCCCCCAATGCGCAGCCACGGCTAGGCAAGATGCAGGATAAAAATGTACATTTTTGTTTGTTTTGGGGGTGACTTAGATGGAGGAAAGGAACCTTAGAGACAAACTTCGGAGCTTACGCTTCCTGGCATGAACAAATGTCCACTAGCTGAATGAAAGGAGGTAGATGTTGGGGCGCCTGGGTGGCTTAGTCGCTTAAGTGTCAGACTTTCGCTCAGGTCATGATCTCGTGGTTCGTGGGTTCGGGCCCCGCGTCGGGCTCTGTGCTGACTGCCAGCTCAGAGCCTGGAGCCTGTTTCAGAGTCTGTGTCTCCCTCTCTCTCTGACCCTCCCCTGCTCACGCTGTCTCTCTCTCTCCTAGAAATAAATTAAAATATTAAAAAAAAAAGAAAAGAAAGGAGGTAGATGTTAAAGGACCCATAAGATTTGGTCAGGTGAGGAGAGAAAAGAGCCCACCCAGGAAGAGAGATCATGCAGAGGGGCAGGAAGAAAACGAGCAGGGAGAAAGCATAAGGAGAGGTTTGGAGGTGAGAATGAAGGTTGAAAGAAGAGAGAATGAAAGGAGCGTGAGTAAATGAGCCCACGAGGGGCAGGGAGCTGTGGGAGCTAGTTTACAGGTAAAATGCCAGCCAGTTACCAAGGCCTGTCATAGAGAATCAAGAGAATAATAGAAAGTGGTGAGAAACTTTGCAGAAGCAACATGATTAAAGAATGTTTGGGGAACGCTGGTGAGGCAAGGATTAGAGAACGGATCGGTGGTGAGAAGAAACTGGGTATGGAAAAGACCAATTAGAAAGACTTTTGTCGTAGCTTAGAATCTAGTTCCTGAATATTCAGAACAGAGGACCGGACTCCTAATCGCTCAAATAAATGTCAGCATCTTGTAAAACTCAAACCAAAAGAGTCAACACCCCCAACATTTGCTACTTAAAACCCAAATGTACTTCTCAGCTTGGAAATGGAATGAAGTTCAGCTGTTTCGGGTCTGTTGCCTTAGTTCAGATATCATTGTTCATGGACTGCTAAGTGGAATTTGGGCAAATACCCTGTGGAACCCTAAAGCCTTATCAGTCTCAGTGGTTCACACAGGAGCCTCACAATCATGTGTTACTTGTTTTAGCGAAAGCCCTGTCTGCTTTTGGGAATCTGCGTGTGCCCCACTGTGATGGGGGTCACTGCCAATTATTATTACCTGATACCTGTGATAGATTTAATTACTTACCGTCTCCTGGGTAGTCTAGAGATCACCCCAAAATTACACCCTCTGAAATCGCCTTTCCCATAGAAGCAGTGTAGTAAGTTGGGGAAGGTGCCAGCTTTGGAATTGAGTAGATTGGCATTGAGATCCTGGCCTCACCATTTATTACCTGCATGTCCTTGGCCAAGTAAATATTTTTTTCCTAATATTAAAATCAGAACGCCTGCCTCTTATGAGAGTTGAGAGTAAATAAAACAGGGTGTGTAAAATCCCTACAATGTAAGTGTTCAGACGTTATTATAACTACTGTATTTTTTAGCTCCGTTGTGTTACAGGCACTTTGCTGAATTCTTTGCATAAAGAAATTCACTTAATGGTCATAAAAAACTGATAAAGTATTAACTCTTCTGTATGGCAGACTAGATATCTAGACTGATTCTCCCACTGGAAATACCAAAAAAAAAAAAAAACGTTAGAAAACATTTTTTAAATTTTCTGAGAAGCCTCTATGCTCTGTATGGCAGGAAGAACTGAGCAGACCAACAGCAGTGAGGGCAGGAGGCTGCCAGCTATGGAAGAAGTGAGTGAGTGGACACCCTCTCCCCACAGAGCAATGATAAGACCAGAGTTTTCAAAACAACCATTTCCGGTCTCTGGAAACCAACCAAAGACAAAAAAGTGAGAAGAGCTTAGCTTCTCAAAGCTGCTGAACTTGACGTGAGTCTTCAGGCCGTCCTTGGCATTCTTTCCTGAGCCGCCCCAGCTCCCCACCCCACTTGATTTGGCACAGTATCTCTACTGGACTGGGCTGTCTATGGAAACTAGCATCTTTGTTGGGCAGAGGGGGCTGACATGTCTGGGAGTGAAGGGCGGGAAACCCACACTCAAACAGTGACAAACGGGAAAAGCCTGCGTCTCTCCTGAGCTGAACTTTCAGTCTTGGTGGGGACAGCAGCAGACAAGAGAATTAGCCAGAAATTTAATAGGGATCTTCCAGGGAAATCCTGGAAATGAGAGTCATAGAGGGGCTTGATAACTTCTCCACACATCCCTAGAGGCTAGGGACAGACGTGCAGCCCATAAGGGGATGCAGGTTCTTCACACGTTCCTGGGTGACTGGGAGGCCAAGCGCGTACGGAGAGGTGAGAAAGCCAGGCAGAAGTAACAGTCGTGGCAGGCCTGGAAACCACCTGAGCTTCGATTGTGCTCCCGACCGACACATAGACCCACCGAGCAAGGCTGGAAGCCTTACTGGTGTTTGACTGCAATTAGTCATTGACTAGACCTAAGCCATGAAGAAACAAGAGAAACCCCAATGCTAAAGAGAGAGAGAATTTTATTTATTATTTATTTATTTATTTATTTATTTATTTATTTTAGAGGGAGAGAGAGACAGTGTGAGCAGGGGAGGGTCAGAGAGAGAGGGAGACACAGACTGAAACAGGCTCCAGGCTCTGAGCTGGCAGTCAGCACAGAGCCCGACGCGGGGCCTGAACCCACAAACCGCGAGATCATGACCTAAGCGAAGGTCGGAAGCTCAACCGACTAAGCCACCCAGGCACCCCAGAGAGAGAGAATTTTAAACAATGAAGCAGAGACAGAAGCAAACCATAGTGGAGGCAAATTCAGTCTGAGCAAATCACTTTAAAACAAGAAAGAGCAACAACAACAACAAAAATCCCCTAAGGAGGGAAATGAAATTAAAAGTGGCGACAGTATATTATTTTAAATGTCTAGTTACCAACAAAAATTTATAGCACATGCAAAGAAAAATAAACAGGGGTGTGTAACCCACGCTGGGGCGGGGGCATGGAAATAGTCAATAAAATCTGTCTCTGAGGGGATATGGGATGTTGGATATGGGATTTCGTTGATAACATTTTGTTTATAACATTCCAAAAAATAAACTGCCAGGCTTAAAAGCTTTCACTGGTAAATTTAAGAATGAAATAACATCAATCTTTCAACCTCTTTCAGAACAGACATGAGGAGGAGACACTCAGCAACTCATTTTATGAGACAGCTTTACCTTATATGAAATTACATACAGATATACAGATTATACAGAAAAAGAAAATTACAGACCAATATTCCTCATGAACAGAGACACAAAAATCCTCAAGAAAATATCATCAAGTTAAAACCCAGCAATATATAAAAAGAATAACACACCATGACCAAAAATGAATTTTATCCTGGAAAGGCACGGTCATTTCAGTGTTCAGAAATTAACCAATGGAATCTACCGTATGAAGTCTATAGAAGAAACCTCACAATCCTGTCAACAGATACAGAAAAATCATTTGAAAAAATATAACAAGCATTCACGATTAGAAACTCTCAGCAGGGGCACCTGGGGGGCTTAGTCGGTTAAGGGTCTGACTTCGGCTCAGGTCATGATCTCACAGTTTGTGAGTTTGAGGCCCACTTGAGGCTCTGTGCTGACAGCTCAGAGCCTGGATCCTGCTTCAGATTCTGTATCTGCCTCTCTCTCTCTCCTCTACCCTGCTTGCACTCTGTCTCTCTCCCTCAAACATAAATAAACAATAGAT